GGCAGTGTGACTATCTCCTTCAAGAAGATGATTTGTAAATGGTTTAGATACCTCTGATTATAGTCTTGCAATTTATTTCTTAAATTACCTATGGGTTTAGACATGTATGGTTTCCCTGTAATCTAAAAATTAAATTAACATTGTACAATATTGCAAAAATAGTAGTTAATTTACTTATACTACTAATTTCTTTTAGTTTAAGAACCCTAGAAAATATACTGGGGAGAACAAAGAAAGATAATTTAAAAAAAAAAAAAAGTATTTTTCTTCACTCCAAATACATTAATGGCTTTAGAGTTGTTTGAAAACCATTCCTAGTAAAAAAAAAAAAACAAACTTTTATTAAAAATAATGAGCTATACCTAGTACTTTGTATGTATTGACTGCTACAGTCACAGAAAGTTGATGCTGAAAATATCCCCATCTCATCCTTTAAGTGATTTGGGGAAGAGAAAGTAAACTGCTGACTTGCGAAAGCGAAAAAGATTTAAGTCTCCCACATATTCAAACACAGCCATCTGAGAAATTACTGTCGAGAAGATCTGTGCATGCTTACCACAGAGAAGAAGAGTTTCCAATATATTTTTTTTTCTAAATTTACCTATTCCTTGATAAATGAGGCTGAAAGAATTTATGACCTAGTTCTGCAGGAATGCAGGTGCACTGACCATGTATACTGGAGCTTCTATGCAAAAGCCTAAATGTTTAGAGAACTATCATAAAATATCAAGAGGAATGTGTTCCTTGCAGATCTGCTGGGTCAGCTCTTAAAATTCTTATACATAACTCTAATACATAATATAGACAGGTCTCTATCTTGGAATGAATGTATCTCTGCTGTAAGGGGAATCTTTATTAGATTGTACTGTGAAATTGGTGTAAAGTTATATTGGAGTTTTCCTCATAAATATGAACAGATCTATGCAGCTGTCTGCAGCTTTATGAGGCAGCAAGGTAGTAAATGCAGCGTAGGGGTGAGAGGGACAACCCACCCAAAGCTTGCCCTGTCAGTCCACTGAGCAGGACAACCACAGGCATCCAATTCCCATTCGACATGGCAAGTGGTCCTAGAGGAAAAGTCTTCCAGTGATGTTAACTTCTGTGTTCACATAGAGCATTAGCTAGCCTTCTGGAGACTGTCTTGGAGCTCCACTCAAAGGGACATGTGTCTCCCCACCCTCCATACCACTCCTGTCTTTCCTCTCTCACCAGAATATACCATACTTGTAGATGTGAAATAACTTCTCTGGAAAGAGAACATTTTTGCCCCATGGAGAAGAAGAAATGTAAATAGCAATTCACATTAATTATCTACCACTTTAGGGAGTATCTGGGGCTCTGACGGTGAAACTGTCTGGGCTGGTCCTTAGGGATTTCTCCAACACAGTAGAAGAAAAAGTAAAACTGAAAAACTTTATTTTGCAGCCAAAATAAGATAGGGCATCATCTAGAAATATTAATATTTAATGCATAAATATAGTTAGATTCTGGCTAGAAACTTGGACTTGAAATGTGTGAAGCTGTTTGTAATTCATGGACACTATGTTTTCTGGAGTGTTTATGTAGCATTTTGCATTAGGTGGAAGAGCTGCAGAACTCCAACCTATTCTTACTTATTATTGACCAAATATTTTTAAAAATGTATCTTTCCAACATGGTTTTCTAAAAAAATCCTAGCACTGAAAGTATTTCATGGGAGGTCTCTTGCTCTACCACTTATAAGTTGTGAATGTGCCCAGGAGTGGTCAACCAGGGACTTTGGAAATCACATTATAATCCATGCACTTATAGTGCCTTCACTGGGGTGGATTACTAGCTTCCCATAGGATAAAAAGTATTCTTGCATGTATGACTTTCCAAAATGAAAATTTGAATTATTTAACAGACCACACATTGATGATGATAAGAAATTAAATGCTTCCAACAAGGAATTTTTAATCAATATCTTGAAGGTGGCATCAATTTTACCACAAGACTACAGAAATATTTTATTCTTATTCTAAGCAGTGATACTTCAGAGTTGAGTTTTATCAGATATAATTAAAACTTAATTGTCAGGTTTTCAGTACTTCTGTGGGCTCAGCTGTGTTTCTGTTGTTATCAGCAACAGTGCAATTAGATCTTAGATTTTTTTCCTTTTTTAATCCCTTGACTGAGCACCTCTTCTTCCTGAAACTACTTAGTTCATTGAATATTTATTGCACCATGAAAACTTCATTTTCAGTGAGGAGAATGGGTCAATATCTTGTTATGACTTTGTCAAGTTAGATGAGTTAAAGCTTTGCAAAATGTGATTTTTTTATAATACCTTCTAAGTATATATTCGATTAGAAATACAGCAGCCAATTTATTTACAAAGGATATTAGTCAGCCTTACAAAAGAATTACATAGGTTGTCACCTTTCAAATAAAATCAACTTTCAGTAGACCTGACACAAAGGTTCAGCTTTTATCTGAAAATGATCTAACCAAAGGGAGTACATGTTTAGTTTGGAAAATTCTATGTGTTTTAAAAGTCTTTAAAACATCTGCCAAACATAAAGTTTGTCTCTAGATAGTCAAAAACTTTCCCTAAGGATCGAAAGATACTTTTTCCTCTAGATCATGGCCCAAGAAGCACAGCAGGCATTGCACCTGCAAAGGGCACTCCATCGTTTAAGGAAAGCATTCAAAAGGAACCAGTTAAGAAGGTAACCATTTCACCCACCTACCTCTTTCTACAGAGGCTTGTGTATCTTGAATGTCCAAGCCTCATGGAGCAGTGGGACATATATAGATGCTCTTTATCTTTGGTTGTTTGGGTTTTTTTCTGACTATGTTATGTCCAAGTTCAGACTGTCTCTGGATGATTTACAGACTTTGGAAAATCAATGGTAGGATTCCCAAAGTCTGGCAGGACTACAGTTTCATCTGACATATATTCAAATCCTGATTTTTTTAAACTTGATCCATAATAAAAATAAAAAGTAGATGCAAAGGTATGAATTGTCAGCATTATTAGGAGCATGTTTGTGCCTTGGATTTTGACTCATGCCCATCTCTTACTTCATTTGTTATTTTGGGAAGAGTTGTAATAAAAATTCTATCCAGTTTCTCTGCAATGGAAATCAAATTGCATTTTCATTGAATCTATCCATTCTTGTGTCCACTTAACATCTAGTATGACAGTGTTCCTAAAAATTTCTACTCATGAATCTTCATCTGTAATTTTGGAGAGAAGATGTCTCATCAGGGTTTAATTCTGAGAAGGGCATGGTTTTGAAATTATCAGCTATTTTTCTTTGAATTTCAAACTACTCCATTTATTGTCATTTGAATTGTTTGAAAGCTCCTCAAAAATACGCTGTTAATGTTTTCACATGGGTGCTTATGTATGTCTGTATATCATTTACATGAATGAAGGCTCTGTGTTTCTTTATGGATTAGGCTTTAAAGACATGAGCATCTCAGATCAGAAGCATGAAATCTTCTTATAAAATTAGTCCTTCCCCTTTAAAGATTTTTTCCCTACTGAATAAAAAAGCACAGAGTACATGATAGAAAAGGGGTTGTTTTTTCCTCTTTGATTACAAATTAGAGAGATTGTTTTGTTTTGTTTTTTTATTGTCTATAATGTGGGTATTCATCAAGCAAAAGTGTATAAACTTTATCTACATGCGTAGAAAGTCTTGTGTATTTTCCATCATGATAATATCCATGTACCTCAATGCAGAGGTTAAGTATAATCTGCTTGTACAAGTTTAACACAGTTAACCTTTCACTACCTGGATTAGCTGGTGCAGGGAATGCACCATGAAAGTACCAAGGATTCTGAACCCAATATAGAAAAATGAGGGGAAATACTAAAAGAGACAAAAGTTAGATCTAAAAATATACAGGTAGTGTCTCACAAAGGGAAGAGAAAGGTGATGCTATGAACTATGGAAGGTAGATATCTCTGCTGTGCATTGATCTGAAGCACTAATCCCCATAATTGCTGTTTGCGTGGCAGTTCCCAGTCAGCTCGGCTTGCACGTGGGCTCTGGCCCTAGGGTCACACAGGACAACCTTGAGAGTGCCTCTGCCACAAGGATTTCAGTCACAGGCAGTTGAGATAAAACTATGTTTCATAAAGTCCAAGTTAAATCTCTTTATTTTCTTTGTCACTTCAAAAATTTCCCTCCACAAAATTTGACTGTAGGGATTTGACTGCAATAGATGTTCCTCAAGTTCTGTCAGACTACCAAGTCTCAATCATACCCATGTTATGTGGCTTTCTAGTTCAAGAAAAAAGAAGTCATTAAATCCATCATAATAAAGGATATATTCTGTTAAGGACCATATTTTTTAAAGCTAAAATAAGAAAACATATTTTTTTAGAATAAATTATTTTGTGACTTACTTTAATATTTTTAAGCAGCTTCAGTACACTTGAGAAAAATGTTTATGTCTTTATAATATTTCTTTCTCATTTTATGTGTCTACTGTTTGTGGGAAAGTGCGTTAGCAGAATAAAGACCAAGGGGACTAGATTAATGCTAATTGTTCCTCATTGTCATGCATCCATTATGATTATGTCTGTTGTACTAATACTGAAGCCATTCTAGTCTAAATACCACTTAACTTTTACTTATTTTGAATACCAAATGCCAGCTAAAATTATCTTGTTCAAATATAAACCTCTAGGCCGCATAGGCCAGAGCTGTTCCTTCGTGGCCTGTGCTTGCTGACATGTCATATAGATGTATCTTAGATTTCCTCTCTTCATTTTGAAAAGAGTATAAATTCATGTCCTGTACTGTACTACTATGCCAATCTGTCATTCGGGTTCATGTCATGTAGCTGTGTTTTTACACCCTTAGAACCTGCAACTGCCATACTTTCAAGATTGCAACTTTTTTTTTTTTTTTTAACTTTTTTTTTTACCTTTTTTTTTTTTTTGTACCTGTTTCTTTCTAATCTGTGTGAAAGAAAAGCCTAATGCATGTTTTATTTATTGACCTGGTACAATAAGGTGTTACACATTTACAGTCCTCCAGAAGAAGCAGTGGTTGAAATCATGATTGCTCCTGTCATCTCTGGGGTTCTTTAATCTTAAAACCATCTGCCCTGGTACCTGGGAACTTCTCCTAACGTGACAGGCAAAACTCCACCATGAATCAAACCTGTAAACATATGATCAGGTTTTGTGACAATGTACGAGCAACAGTAATGTTCCAGGGTGAAGTAGTAGGAGTGGTGCTGTTTAACCTATTAATAATTTGGGGAAAAACTGCTAATGTTTTAGCAGGAAAAAATTGCACATGTCAAAAACATTTTGGCTAGACAGAGATAAAAAAGGCTTTGAGAACCTTGAGAAAAACTTAAATACCTTAAATGAGTAATTATCATGAGAAGAGAGGCAGTGATTATTCAATAATGCAGTCATGCACACTAGAAGAAATAAAATGATTTAATCTTCTTAAATGCCTTTAGATTCTGAATGCATAGAATCAGTCAGCAACAACTGGAGAGTAACCATGCAAAATTCTTCGGAGCAATCTTAAAAGCAAAGCTAATGGTTTAATGTCGAATGAAAGATAGTTAGGGTTTTATGTGGTAGAATATATTCATTATGCTGTTGTAAAAAATCTTATCTCAAATACAGTATTAGCTCTGGCCTCCCCTCCTCAAATGCACTTTAACTATGACACATTGTGAAGCAGCCACATGGACAGTTGATGGAAGGGATTTGGACATCTAGAATCACAGAAACTGTTATCACAAGTGCCTTTACCTAAAAGGAAGGAAATTTACCTATTTGTTCTGTCTTAGAAACTGTTTTGCCTTAGGGTTCATTTTTGGAGGTTAATATTTCAAAGAAACATAGTAGAGCCAGATAAAAGATGAAATTCTTGGTTCCATTGAGATCAGTGGAAACCTTGCAATGTTTTTTCCCCATTTAAAATGGACATATGATATATTCATTTTCAGATCAGAGGGTGAAGCTATGTAATGAAAGGATGGTATGGTTTGCCATACAAACATACAGCTCCTTGCTGCCTGGCTCTAGATCTGAAATGAGGAGCTAATTTAAGAATGCATTCCAGTGATGAAGGATCTTTTTTCTCTTGTATAGTTTTTTTCTCTTGTATAGGTTTGTGGTTTTTTTATCTTCTCCTGAATGACCTTAAATTCTTCACTGCAACACACAGTACTTGTCATAAGATAGAGACTTCTGTGTTAAAAGTTATAATCTGTATATATCAGAAGGCTGCATGTGCTCCAGTTCAGGATGTTGTTCTGTTATTTTTTAGTCTTTGGTGACTTACTTATATTTTTTGTCCTTTTTTTTTTCTTCAGTATTTCTAGGTTTTCTTTGTTTTTAGATGGTTTTGTATTGCCTGCTGTTTTCTAATGTACAGTTCTAGGCTTTGGAGCACATAAAGACATGACATCTAATAATGCCATTGCCATGTTTGTGCTCTCATGTAGAGATACAGAGTTTTTAAGATGAGCCAGAAAAACAAAACTCAGCCTCAAACATAGTCCTTAAAGGTAACCCCCACTCAACAGCATCTTCTAGTTTACCCCAGCATTACTCCCTACATATTCTCTGTCCTTACTATCAACACAGTATCAATTACTCTTTCTCCTCGCTAGTGTGAATGGGCCAAGTATGACTTGGCCTTATGTGAGGTTCAAATACTGTTTAAACACCAAAAAAACCCAATTACATGAGAGCAGATAGGCTTTTCTACCTTTACATTTCCCCTAGGAATACTTGAAGTCCCTGAATTTGATGTGGAATCATAGCTGAGAGAAGCTTGACCTTTGTCCCATCCTTTTCTGTTTTAACATCATCGCTACTGGTCTGTTGGGGACCACTCCTGCTTGCAGGTATTCAGGGATACTCTAAGAGGTACTCCTCATCCACAGCTCTTTACACTTCCTGATTCTGTAGTGCAGAATAAACCAGAGATTTTTGGTCTGTTTTTTAACTGGGAAAAAAAATGTTTGTCTTACTTATAGAATAAGTGCTGTGGGTAATTAATGGATTAGAAAATGCAACCATTTTCTAAGTTTTTGAAGTGACAGACAGTATTTTGGTATGTTAAGTGTCTGGCATGTAAGGAAAATCTAAGTAGTAGGATAGAATGAAGCTGCAAATTACAGTGAGTGAGATACCTCAACTCAACGCAGAGTTAGCACCAAGCCAGGAGAAGACTGAGTTTCTGTCTATTAAATGAAATAATGTGATTTTTATCTAGTTAAAACTTTGCAATCTATGGATGTTTAAATTCCTTTTTATGCTTCCGCTGATACTTGAACACTTCCCAGATATACATAAATGAGACTCAGTATAGATTCTTACAGCATTTTTCAAAGTAGCCTAATGGAGGTAAATGTCCAGTTCCTATTGACTTTTCTAATAGGACTTGATTGCTTAAGTGCTCTTTTTCCCTTTGAAAGGTCTTCCTCTTAATTACGCTAATTGGTGCTTTAAAATGTTCTCAAAGTAAGAGAGCTATACCTAGATGATTCTAATTCCGAACCAGGCAAGATTCATAATGCTAAATTCTAGGAAGTTCCCTCTGACAACAAGGTATATTTATTTTCCTCTTCTTCCCTGAGGGCAGAAATTAATTGCTCAGGTTTGCCAGAAAATCTGCTGAGAGCTATTACATACAGGAACCGAAAAGGAAAAGGAATTAGTCCATGATGCTACCTCGTGACTATTTCCATTGGCTAATGAAAGTATTAATGGCCAACAGTACCTTGTATCTAGCCTGAAATGGAAAAAAAAAATGCAGTGCTATGAACAAAAATCTAAGAAGTATAGTTGATCTGGAAGATCTTGCAGCATTTTATATACTATGCCTGAAATATCATTCTATATTATTTCTTCAAAAGGTCCTGATTAGGATAGTCTCTAACAACCAAAGTAGAAGTGAGATGCTGTAAACATGTTCTTATCTACAAGTCAGAGGAATATATGTATTGGCTTCTCACTTTCAGATAAACTTTCTCTTCCAAGTCTAAATCTCCAAAGAAATTTATCTAATAGCTTTTCTTTATATCATGGACATTATTTTAGCAATTGTCAAAAATGACTAATAATTTCTATCTGCTACTGTTGTAGCTCAGTGACAAGCTGTTCATCCTACCGAGAAGATCATTTGTCTGACTCTCAGTTATAGCACAGAACTAGGCACAGAATACAGAACTCATTTCAGATAGTGGTGTCTTGGCCAGAAGTACTTATTAGCAGCTGTAAAATGATATTATTATATTTGGTATTTTGGTAGTAGAAATATTGTAGAAATACTATAGGGACTTCTACTGTTTGATATGTGTCATTTATTTTTGTACCTTACCTTTACTAGCAGTAATGAATCCTTTAGTAACAGTTATGTTTCAGAAGGGTTGGGTGATTACCTTGAACATGAAGTGAACTGTAAAGGAGAAACCAGTTTACATATATCTATCAGTGAAAGAACAGAGTCATCCACCTTTCCTGGGTAGCATTGAAAATGTATGAAAAGCCAGAAAAATGGAAATACACAAGCCAAGAATCAGTGGCTTTTAGAACCCTCCCAGGAAGGAGATTTTCTCTAAAAGACATTATTTTAGTATTCTCATATCAGTTACAGTTATTTAAAATAATCTGTTTGTTTCAGTTTTGCAGTTCTTCATACAATTCGAATATTTTCAAAAGCTGGTGTTGAACTTTACGATTGTGTTATTTTATGTCAGGTTTAGATAGATTTTCTTTAACTATCTACTCTCTACCAGAGATTTTCTTGAGGTTTTATTCTATATTATTTTATGTTTAGCATTACATTCCTATTCCCCAACTTGGAAACATAGGAATTACATCTTCCATCCAAAGGGCCATGTTACTGTTGGGAAAATGCAGTGTAATCTCAGAAAAACAGCAGTGTGCAGAGGTGCAGTTGGGCTTTGTATTGGTTCAGTTAGGCTTTTTTGTTGTTGTTTTTTTTTCTGCAGTTTTGCTTTACTTTCATTTTAAATGATTGAGAGCCACAAATCTAAAATAGCGCCACACGATTAATACCTTTTATCAAGACAAAATCAAGGAGATTTCATATTTTCATTTTTGTGTCTGTTGTCAAGATAAACCAACCTACTCAGTACTGCCACGATATGACAATGCAGGTCACTTTCATTTACACTTTTGGTTAAATTCACTGTCCTGCATAGAGTGTGTCAGCAGCATCATGGCCAGACCCTGCCCTGCCATAACACAGCCCTTCTGGCTGAGCTTTCTCTGTAGGACAGTATTCCAGAGATTATGGAGCTGAGCATGGCAGCAGCCTTGGTTCAGCAAGTCTGCTGTAAATAATAAATTCTTACAGGCTTTTTCCCAAACTTAATTGAAAGCTGGGACAGATACTTTAAATCTATCCCTTATTTTTACAAATATTCTGCGCAATGAGATTTCCCCTAGTTCATATTCCGATTCATCCAAATGGATGCTGACTGAAGTGGAGAGAGAATAAGCTTCAGGAGGTGATTCAGTCTATCAGGTCTCAGCTCACAACAGAGGGACCACTGAACAATTTTTCTAAAAATAAAACTCTTGTCTGTCAGGATTAGTTTTTTTGGAATTTGTCCCTGAGTACCCGGGAAAGATTCCAAGTCTCCCAAGCAAGCTGCTTAACAGGCAAAACTGTTAAAACAAATCAAATTTTATCCTTTTTTTCCCCTAACTTGATTTTTGTGCAGCATCGTGTTTATGCAATTCATTCAGGTCGTGTGTTTTCCAACTGCATATTTTTTCCTGCTTTGTAACTTTGAGGTTGTTTTGTTGTTGTTTTTTCAAATATCTATGAAGCAGTAGCTAATTCTACTTTCTCTAGCACACACAGACTCATTTAGCAAAATGAAAGGAAAGATTTAATGAACAATCTAGAAAACACTTACTGAAGCATCTTTTGAAAATTAATTCTGGTTTGTAAGTTATGTTTAGTTCTTTGAATCTTTTCTACTGTAAAAAGAAACAAGGAAAAAGTTCTGAACGTGTAATTACTCTTACTATTATAATGATTTAGTCTTAGAATGTCAAAAAGCTTTCCAAGCATTAATTAATGTAAAGAATCAAATGATGTTGCATTCTAGCTGCAATGTTATTAGGTGATGATTCTTTTTCTTTTCAGTGACTTAATGGATTTTATAAATTATGTAATTAGACCTGTAATATGCAATTCAAAACCACTTCATTTCCATACAGATACACAGTTCTTATCATAAATAATCATGCATAAAAATAAATATTCTAGAGACACAATATTACTGTGCTGTATAAATTCCTACAGTTTAATGTTCTTTTTATTCTAGGAATTACAAGGAGAATGTAGTGTCCTTTAAATAATTTTTTTAGAACTGTTTTGTTTTATGGAATGTGTGGTTTTCATGGTGTCAGTATTCCTTAGTAGTTCTTTTTTTGCTTTGTTTTGCAGGTTGGCTTCATGAGCTGGGAAAACGTATTGAGTCTCCTTACTATGAGAATAATACTCTAGGAGGCCCATCAATCAGAAGTGCCTATATAGCTGCCCTGTATTTCACTCTGAGCAGCCTCACCAGTGTTGGGTTTGGAAATGTTTCAGCCAATACCGATGCTGAAAAGATCTTCTCCATTTGCACAATGCTGATTGGGGGTAGGTACAAATGCTAAGTGCCATGTAAAAAGTTTTTTGGGTGTATAAACAAGTAAAATAAGAGCTGAAATTTTGCCAAATTTCTTTTATATAAAAACAAACCAACCAACCAAACAAAAAACCAAAAAAACAAAAACCAAAACAGCAGAAAGAGCAAAAGAAGGAAATATCTTTGTTTGGTTGAAACTACATAAACTCTCTTAGGCAGATATATTTATATCTCTTTGTTCACTTATGGTGACAAAAGACGGTGTCACCCAGTAAAATGCAAACTCACGTTATTGTCAGTGAGAATGGCTCAGCTGTGTGTTGGGGATTTTGGTCACGTGGCAGGCACTTTTCTGGTCAGCTGGGTATTATTTGCATGTCAGCTCCAGTTCCCCACAGCAGTCCTAGGTATGGTTAGGAGGGAAGGGGGGCAGCTCACAGGGCAATGTGTCTGTAAGCTGGTGTGTATCCTCATCTGAACAACAAGACCAGAGAGAAGGCTAGAGACAGGATAGAGCCAGGAAGACTGTTTGGTGAGCCTTAGGAAATCATTTGATTCAGATTACAGTCAGAGTGCAATGTTTTTCTCATATTGAATCTCTTAGTGGTATTTTTATTTACGTTAATTATGTAGTTGCACTGTTGAGGAAAGTCATATGCTCATACATGGTTCCTTTCTTTCTTCTGAGACACCTGGATACAACTAGTGAGCTGGTGGCACTTGCAGACCTTTGTAAGCCAAGACCACTAGAGAAAGTTCCTGCAACTCTTTCTTCATCTCCCTTCCCCCCAAAATCCACGGTGCTGTTTTATAGTGTGGACATCATACACAAAGATGTCACAGAGAGCATGAAGGGGAAAAGCAAGTTACCACTAGAGTACAACCTCCTGCCCCCCTTTTTTTTCTGCGTGCCTAGTTGTTCTAGAAATACCAGTAGGTATTTCTCTGGGGCTAGTCAGTAAAGCCTGGGTTGTCAGCTGGTTGTCAGCTTTGCAGAATAAATTTTCCTGGGCAAAAATAAA